CAAAGTGGCCGTGAGGATGGTTGGCTCACCACCTTTTATTTTAATTCATCTTCTTTTCTTTCTTTTTTTTTAATTTTATTTTAGGAAATGAAGAGTTTTTGGTAATGATTTTAGGAGATGAGGCCAATAAATTTTAATTTTTTTTGGATAAATTACAAAAACACTCATTAAAGTTTGTTTAAAATACGAATTGCCCTTTATAATTTGGAAAATTACAAATATTTCCCTGTCAGAATTTTTTATTTAACAGAATTAATTGAAAAAGTGAAATTTCTAACTGTTCACTTATATAATAATAAAATTATCTGAATTATTAATTGAAATAAAATTTTAACATTATTAAAAACTGTTAATTAACTTGATAATTTATTAATAAAAGAACCTATTTGTTTTGAAATTAGAAATCTTAGGGGGCATAATGTAATTTCTAGAACTATAGGGATAATTTGTAATTTAAGTAAACCTCAGGAGATGTGCTTGTAATTTATCCTCTCTCTTTTTTTTTTTTTTAATTGGAAGTCAACAAAATCGTATATGTGTTTTACTTACAAATAATTTTCTTTCTTGTTTGATTTTAGGGAAGGAAGAATTTAGGTAATAATTTTAGGAGATGAACCAATAGATTTGTAATTCATTATCTACAATTGGAAAAAAGCAAAATCATAAATGTCTTTGAGTGTGTGATTTATTAATTTATTTTTAAATTGAAAAATCAAGAAATTTAGAATTAAAAGTTAATAGAAATTGAGGGGTGTGAGTCTATTATGAGTCGGTTTCGATTATTTAAATAATTCATTTTGTAGTATATCTAGTATATATTATTAAGTTTGGCGATATCCTATAATAGTTAAAAAGTCAAAATGAAAAGAAAATTAATAAACCAAAGAACTATACAAAAAAATAAAAATTAATGAAAACAATAATCTATTCATTTCATAACAAATAAATATGATAAAATGTGAAGATTATGATTATCAAATTGATTTAATTTTTTTATTAATGATATATATAAAAAAAAACTCTAAAAAATAAATGGTCACCTCCTCAAAGTCTCAAATCATTAATATTCATTATCTGTTTATAGACTAAATTATAATCTGGAAAATTATCTGAATTTTGATGAGTTGAGAGCTGAGTACTTTTTTTTTTTTTTTTTTTTTTGTTGTTGTTGTTGGTGAGAGGTTTACACTTTGTGAAAATAGTTTGATGAGAAGTTCTAGAGGACATTTTGTTTTCAATTTTACCTCTTGACTTTTATTTATTTATTTTTATTTGTATAACTTTTCGTTGACTATCTATTTAAATTTATACCTATCTGTTCAAATTATTTTCTATCTATTCAATTTTTTGTCTATATGTTCAAATTTTTTATCTATCTGTTCAAATTTGTTGTCTATCTGTTCAAATATCTGTCCAAATTTTATTATTAGTTAAATTTTTACTCTTAATTTTACTTGTCATTTTTTTGACCAAATCTTATTTGTTGAAATACAAAGCCAAACCAACCCCTATCTGTTGCAATATAAAGCCATACAAAACCCTATCTGTTTAATTTTTTTTCTATCATCATTAACAACTCTTTGTTATTCAAAATTTGAAGAGATCATCATTATCATCAACAACTCTCCACTATTCAAAATTTGAGCAGATCATCATCATCAACAACAATAACAACAACAACAACATAAAAAAATAAAAAAAATTGAATAGATATAAACATTTCAACAAAGCAAAAAAAAAAAAAAAAGAAAAGAAGAAGAAGAAGAAGATATTTCTGCCACTATCTATTACAATCAACAATAAAAACAAAAAATAATTTGATCATGAAAAACAAATCAGATAAAAAAAATTAAAAATCAAAGCCAAAGAAGAAATCTAAGCCTTTTTTTTTAATATATATATATATATATATATTTTCACAGATCTAAGTCATTTTTGAACAAATAACTTGAAAAAAAATCAATCAAATTAAATAATTTTAGGGATGCTGCTATGGGCACTACAATGAAAACCTTAGGGAAGAAAATGAGATCAAGCATTGAACTATAATGAAAATCCTAGGAAAAAAAATGAGATCAAGTGAATATCTTCATCGGTGAATAATATCTCTTTGTCGATTCAGAGAAGAAAATGTTGATTCACAAATGAAAACCCTAGGGGAAAAAATGTCGATTCAAGAATGAAAACCCTAGGGAAGAAAATGTCGATTCACCGATGAAAACCCTAGGGATATTCACCAGATTACCTGTAAACCCTAGGAATAAACCCCTTTGAACTCCTTTTGTGGAAAATGAGATCAACCCCATTGTTGCTACTTTGTCCTCGAGTTCTTCGTCGCCACGGTTGTCATCATCGACGTCTTCGAGCTACTTTCCTCTTGGGGTATATGGTACAGTTTACCTCCTCAACTCCAAATGCAACTTTATAGAACTCTACAACGTCGTTGGCCTTTGGTGCTTCCATGAACAACTGATGCTCTATCGCCGAGAAGGTCATTGCCTTCAATACTTCGTGTTCAACTCCTCTATTTTGAACCTCCTGAGCCATTGATGTTATTGATTGCAAAGAGGAATAAGAGAAATGGAGAGAGAGAAAGCGAAACCCTAGGAGAGAAGAAAGAGATATGATCTGAGTAGAGAGAGCATGAGATTTGAGAAGAGTGATAGAGAGTGTAAATCAAGGCATAAACTGTAAGAGGAGCTGAAGAAATAGAGGGTAGTTTGGTCATTTTGTAAAAGTTTGCCTTATGAATAAAATATTTTACAGTTTGGACAAAAAAAAATCTAAAATTATATTTATGGACAGAGTTTCCTATTTAAAATTGAAAAAAAAAAAAACCGATTTAGAATCCTGTGAGAGACTCCAAGAGATGAGTTGGTGGGGGTCTCATGCCTTCACCAGTACATGATTATGTAAATACCAACCAGTGTGTTTGGTTTCAATTTTTTGGATTTAATTTTCTAAAAATTGAGTTTTTTGTTTTTCGTATTTATTTGTTTTTAGTGAATATTTTTAAAATTTTAAACAATTTTTTTTTTACTTTTTTAGTTGTACCTTACTTAGATCTATCTAAAAAGTAAAATATTTATAAAAAAAAATATTTTAAAAAATTAATAAATACACAAGAATACAAAAAATGTACTGAATTTTCATATATATATATATATATATTTTTATTTTTGGTATTTAGTGAATTTTTATATTAGGTGTATTTAAAATTAAAAAAATTATTTATAATATTAAAAAAATACAATAAAAATAAAAGAATTTCAATTTTTGAAAAAGTGAATCATGAAAATTTAAACCAAACCAACTGAATAATACCATTCTTAGGCCTCGTTTGGGAACATGTTTTTTTATTAACTTTTTGGCTAAAATATGATGTAAAAAAAAGTATGCTTATGATGAATTTTTGATTTTTTACGAAAAGATGTGCAAAAAGTAGAGAGAAAATGAAATCCTTGACTTTTTGGTATCAGTTGTTGATTTTTTTGATTTTTTTAGTAAATTTTTGACTTTTAAGTTAAAAACTAATGTTACCAAATGAGGCCTAACATTTCCACAAGCTTTAGAGCATCTCCAATGGTTTTTCATTGGAGTTGCCAAAGTCATTTTATGGCAAGTATGGTGCAAAAATGTTCTCCAATGGTGAGTTTTGACAGTTGCTATCTTTGGCAAATGCCAAAACTTGTGTCAAATTGGGCACAAGCTTTGGTAGCTGCCAAAGCTGCTAAGTCATCAAAACCAATCGTTTCCTTCTTCTCTCCCTTCATTTTCTCCTTATCCTTCTTAGCAAAAACTTCCAAAACAGAAACAAAATTCACCAAAAAATTAAATAAATTTCAGAATCAGTAAATCAATCTGAAGCAATAAATAAATAAATAAATAAGTTTTAGAAATTTCAAGCAATATGAACCAATTAATTTCAGCAATATAAATCAAAGAATTTCAAGTAATTTGAAGCAAAATTAAAAATTGAATTTTAGTAACTTTATACTACAAAATACCTTCAATTTGAAGATTCCTTGGCTCAACTTCGTTAGGGTTTCGAGTTGATCTTCTTCATCTTCTTTAGATGGTCTTCACTGTGGTAGAAAAGAGGGTTGGAGAAAGAAATTTGGGGATATCGCACGAGCCAAGGAATGAGAGGGAAAGTATCAGACATAGGGCTCATGATCATCGCGATAGTTGTGAGAAGCCGAGGAGTAAGAGAGAGCGAAGCAGAGACATGATGAGTTCACATGAGAGAAAGGGAAGTAGAAATAGGGCTTTAAGAGAGGAGTCAATGTAGAGAGGAGTCTTTTAAAATAGGGCTTTGAGATAGTAGAGAGAGGACTTCGAGATAAGGCTTTGAGAGAGGAGTCTTTTTAGATATAATTTTTATTTTGTAATATAATTTAGTGAATGTAATTCTAATGTAGTTGATAATTTTTTTTTTTAATTTTGCATTTTGTTATTTTTTTAGTGGGGTGAATTATATAATAGAAAATTTTTAATTTTTTATATTTGTTTAGTCGGGTACCATGTAAATATTTTAATTTTTTTTTAAATTTTAAAAAAGTTCACAAAAGACCGAAATTAAATAATAAAAAAATTACTTAAAAATTTCTATCTAAACAACACCTATAAATTTGGAGAGAAAGTTGGTTGAAATTTGTCAAAATAACCTATTGGAACACTATTACTATAATTTAACAAAATAATACTATTAATTACCAAATTATAACAATGACAATGTTATTTTAACAAACACCATTGGAGATGTAGGGACACAATGGTAATTCCGACCAAAAGGTCCCCTACACCGGGGAGCTTCTATTTACCCACACCAAACTAACTCTATACATATATTTAATGGAGAGGATGTATAAAAAATATAATAAAAAAGATGTACAAAAAATATATATTGTGTGTGCAAATAGAAGCTCCCCCTACACCGCTCCTCCCTGCCTCCCCGCCTTTCTATAAAATGCCCCAAACCTCTCGTTCTCCCCCTTTTTCACTCCCCCATTTTAAACACGCGCGCGCGCACACACACACTCTCTCTGTCACTCTCTAAAATTATACATACAAAAGTAATAAAGCAGGACTTTGGGGGGAGAGAGAGGGAGAGAGATCAAGAAGACGACCAAGAGATGAGGAAGTTCTTCACCAGAAACTCCGGCGACTCTCAGCAGCCCTCGCCGGAGCCTCCTTCGCCGTCGTTCTCCTCCGTCTCTTCCACCGGTCCGGCGAGGCCGATCCGCCTCGTGTACTGCGATGAGAAAGGGAAGTTCCGAATGGATCCGGAGGCCGTCGCGACTCTTCAGCTCGTCAAGGAGCCCGTCGGCGTCGTCTCCGTCTGCGGCCGCGCTCGCCAAGGCAAGAGCTTCATATTGAATCAGGTTATCCCTTTCAATTCCTTCCCATAAATATAAAAACTTGAAATGTTTGAGGAAATTTTTTATGTTTATTATTGGGTAATTTATTGTTTTATCGAGAAAATTGATGTAAATAGTTCATGGAGTGTGTTGTTTAGAGTTCTGAAATTAGGGTTTTGGTAATTGCTAGTGTGATTAGTAACTAGAATTGGGTATTTAGGCAGGAGCTTCATATTGAATTAGGTTATCCCATTTTTGTTCCTTCTCATAAAAGTCCAATGTTTGGAGATCATTTTTATGTTTATTCTGTAATTTTTAGTGTTTTACACTATTCTCTTTTTCTAGAAAATTGATGTATATAGTTCATGGCATGTGTTTGTTTTATTTGAAGGGTATAGTTCTGAAATTAGGGTTTTGGTAGTTGCTAGTGGGATTAGTAACTAAAATTGGGTATTTTTGGATAAGGAGAACTAACAATCATGGTCAACTAGTTACGGCAATACAACCAACTAGAGGATTGGAGGGCAGTGGAAATTGTGTGTAGAATGTATTGACTGTTTAATTTTGTTGTATATGTTCTCATGCACAAATGTGCCAATGTGGTGTATTTACATGGACATCTGGTGTGTCATGATTTTAGGATTGCAATAAGGAAGGTGAATAAATAAATAGCAAATTTAAACAGTACAAAAATAACTATAGATTAATAAAATATTTATGCTTCGTGATTCCTTTCTAGCACATTCAAGCAAGGATTGGGGTTGATGTAGTTATGAGTCCCAAAAATATCTTCAACTTCTCATCATGGAGATCATGGGGCTGACCAAACTGGTACAAGTTAAATGCTGTTGGTTTTATTTGTCTTTTCTCTTCAAGAAACTAGTTTGAGTCACATGATTGAGTGAATGAGGACCTTGGCATGGAGTGATTAGTAGGGTGCTTGAACTTTGAACTCTGATAGACCACTATAGTTTGTCTTATCTTGTTGTGAGAATTGAGTTTGGGTTTTAGCTTGTAGTTAAGTTTTCATTTATGTAATTGGTGTCTTCTGGTTTTTACATGGCACTAATTCAAGAAGAGATCCAATACTGTTAAGCCTATGCCTAAGTTTATGTCTAAGTTTCATCTTTTATGTCTAAGTTTCATCTTTTATGCCTAAGTTTCACCACACAATTGAAATTTCTTGAGTAATAACCAAGTCTAATTAATTTTAGGGTAAATTACACTGACTTCTCCTAAGGTTTGGACAAACTACAAGTAATTTCACAGTTTTGGCATAATTACACTGGCCTTCTTTTTATTAAGGCTAAATGGACCGAAACTAATACAAATAATAGAAATAGTGTGAAGATACAAAGATAAATAAGGAGAAATAAATATTTCAGTGTAAATGATATGAAAATATTATATTTCCAAATGGGCTAATTGTTTTGAGTATTAAAACCTTAAGGGAGTCCAATATAATTATGTCAAAACTGTGTGACTTGTTGTATTTTCTCTAAACCTCAGGGGAGGTTAGTGTAATTTTTTATGGTTGAATTTTTCTTGCATCTTGTTTTTATGACTTGCCCATTAAATTAATTTCATGAGAAATCTATAGCACCAACTGAATGAAACATGTTAGGATAGAAGTGGAGGTTAGGGCACTTATTGTGAGTGGTTCATATAGCACCGTCAGCAAACTTAATTAGAGAAACTTGTGATTGAGCTCATCTCAACTTGTGAAGCCTTAATTTCAGTTATTGAGTGTTGGCTATATGGATTATTTCTTTGGTTGGCTCGGCTAAAAGGCATATCTTCAATGAAGTCTAAAGAAAAAATACTTATTAAAAAAGTCACAAGCAGTAATGCCTTTTCTCACACTACTTTTAACAAATGTGCTTGACCATGGAACAAGGTAGCTAGGATAAACTATTGTGCAGGAATAGCTAGTTTTTACCTTGTTGAGGATTGATTCTAAGAAACACAACACTTCTAAGATGTTTTGTCTGTGTTGGGCACATGTCGAAATTGACACTTGTTGGACACACATCCAAACGTGTCCTATTGTTTTAGTGTTTTTAGTGCTAGACACTATCCGTCCTCTTTAGGCCTTTGAATTTCAAACTCTAAAGCCTAAAATTCCAATGTGATTGTAGATAGTTTTATTTTTTTATTATAAATATATATTAGAACCTTTTGTTTACACTTTACCCAATATATAGAATGTGGATTTTTTTTTGGATATAATAACATTAAATATATTTGTAACATTTAAAAAAAAGAAATTATTATTTTCATGTACATATATGAATATATTTGTTGTCGTGTTATTTTAAAAAAAAACGTTGTTTCATCATGTCAATGCTTAAACTTGGCCTAATAACCTTGAGGTTGTAGGTTCGAACTTGAGAGCAAACCCTTTTTGCAAATTATGTCAAATGTTTGGTTTGTATCCAATCTACCCATGCCAGACCCCCACCAAATAGGGGCTAAAATGGGTGTCGTTTTTTTCTTGTAGCGTGTTGGTATTGTGTCATAGCCATGCTTCTTACAAATCGTTTTATTTCGTCTTTAATGTGCGCTAAAAATGTTGCCCAAGGAGTTTGGTGATTGACATGATTAACCACACATGACGAAGAGGAAGATAATGGCCTACGTGTGTTAGAAGCTAAATTTTCAAACATTAGAAATAATATGTTTGACTAGTGTTATTAAAGGCCATAGATGCATAAGGTCTCTTGGGGTCTAGGTGCAAGGCGCAAGCTTCACCGAAGTGAGACGCACCTTGTACGTAAAAAATTATATAATTTAATACAAGCAAATAATTTAGGTTGCAACATAAGTAAAATGAAATATTAAACATTTAAAAATATAAATACCAGCAAACATTAATGTTTTAACATAGACAAATGAACAATATTTCAAAGTTTAATATAAAACTTGAATAAGAAGAGAGGGAAGAAGAAGAATAAGGAGCGGGATAAAAAAAATGATCGGCCTGAAGAAGGATGAGAAAGAGAAAGAGACCGGAGAATAAGCATAACAAGATGGAAGGCAACAACATCACAACCATGTGAAGCAGAAGATAGCAACGTAGAAAATAGAAATACAGAAGACAACAACGTAAAGAAGAAGAGAAGAGAATGAGAGAAAACTATAAGAAGAGCGGAAGAAGAAAACAAGAACGTGGAGAAGAATTTTTGGAGTTGTTGGACTAGATAATGAGGGCAAGCAGTAGCAAAGTGTTCTTCGCAGATTAAGAATTAGGGCTAATTTTTCTTTTATTGTTGATTTGGGGCTTAATGCCCAATGTATTTGCATGTGTAATATGAGTAGGGATCTTCTATAGCTGCACCATATTAAATGAATGGTTAAATTTCAAACAAAACCAATCAAAGCAACAATAAAAAAAATGCCCTCAAGGCACAGGCCTTGGCCCAGTTGCATGCCTTAAGCGCGACTTATCGAAATCCCTTGTCCTGGAACACTGCAAGGCGCACATTTTGGGCCTAGATGGGACTTGGGCCTAGGCGTGCCTTGAATAACACTGTGTTTGATTGTACACCCAACTAAATAAGAATCGCACGATTCACAATCGATTCACGATTCGATTCACTTTTTACGATTCATGCAATTTTAGAAATTATTGCGTCCGACATATTTTCGACTTTTTTTTTCTCCATCTTTTTAGTGAAAATGGCATAATACAACTTTTAATAGCGTTTAATACCAAAATAACCAACATATATACATGATTTATTGTCATTTTAGCGATCATGGAGTTTTCAATAGGATCTAATCATATTCAATCAGACCCAACATATTTTTAACCTTTCTTCTCATTTTTTTTAATGAAGATGTTTAAGATTAAAGTTACACTATAAATTATCTATTACTATTTTATTAAATTGAATATTACATGTGTGAGGTTAGTTATATTTTTTAAAATGCTTTAGGCTTTAAAATAAAAGATTCTAAATAATTCCTTCTTATTATTTGCTCACTATTACTTAGAAAAGTATATATGCTTATTGTCCAAATATCAACATTGTTGTTATTTATTGTTACTTTGGAAATTGATAATTTGTCTATTTGGTTACTATCTTTATTAAGAATGGCTGATAAGAAATATCTAAAAAAGAAAAAAGACAAGATGGTGATATTATATCTTTATTAAGAATGGTTTATAAGAAATATCTAAAAAAGGAAAAATGTAATATGGTGATCTTACATAGGAACCTTTGTTAACTTCTTACCTATTAAACTACGTGATTATTATTCAAAATAACATTTTCATTGATTTAAGTCTAAATATTTTATATTCATAAGATATATTTAACATCTAAATATGTAGATATATATTTTGAAGTAATTTAGAAAAAGTGACTGAATCTTTACGATTCACGATTCGATTCGATTCGCGATTCGGTACAAGGCCATTTCGATTCACGATATGAATCCCAATTTGACAACTATGATTAGAAATAATATGTTTGACTAGTGTTATTAAAGGCCATAGATGCATAAGGTCTCTTGGGGTCTAGGTGCAAGGCGCAAGCTTTACTGAACTTTGTACGTAAAAAATTATATAATTTAATACAAGCAAATAATTTAGGGTGCAACATAAGTAAAATGAAATATTAAACGTTTAAAAATATAAATACCAGCAAACATTAATGTTTTAACATAGACAAATGAACAATATTTCAAAGTTTAACATAAAACTTGAATAAGAAGAGAGGGAAGAAGAAGATTAAGGAGAGGGATAAAAAAAATGATCGGCCCAAAGAAGGATGAGAAAGAGAAAGAGACCGGAGAATAAGCATAACAAGATGGAAGGCAACAACATCACAACCATGTGAAGAAGAAGATAGCAACGTAGAAAATAGAAATACAGAAGACAACAACGTAGAGAAGAAGAGAAGATAAGAGAAGAGAAGAGAATGAGAGAAAACTGTAAGAAGAGCGGAAGAAGAAAACAACAACGTGGAGAAGAATTTTTGGAGTTGTTGGACTAGGTAATGAGGGCAAGCAGTAGCAAAGTGTTCTTCGGATATTAAGAATTAGGGCTAATTTTTCTTTTATTGTTGATTTGGGGCTTAATGCTCAATGTATTTGCATGTGCAATAAGAGTAGGGATCTTCTATAGTTGCACCATATTAAATGAATGGTTAAATTTCAAACAAAACCAATCAAAGCAACAATAAAAAAAATGCCCTCAAGGCACAGGCCTTGGCCCAGTTGCATGCCTTAAGCGCGACTTATTGAAATCCCCTGTCCTGGAACACTGCAAGGTGCACACTTTGCGCCTAGATGGGACTTGGGCCTAGGCGTGCCTTGAATAACACTGTGTTTGATTGTACACCCAACTAAATAAAATATGAAATATTATGAATAACAAATGCATAGAAATTGTATTAATAGTAGTGAAAGTGGGAGTACCCTTGATATTTAGAGACTTTGTAGTTTTGAGAATATAGGATCCACGAGGAAGTGCAATATAAATTCTAGAAGGGTTCGGTTATCTTGAAAGTGCTATATAAATTCTATGGTCTTGGTGTAATAGGGCACAACCATCTAATTGTGAGAACCTCTGCCTATAACAAAACAAGAATAATTTCTTGAAGTTGTTCTTTCATATTTAGGACCCCATTGTTAAGTTACCAATTTTTCCAAAAGCCTAAGTTGTTAGGAAATGGCCCCAACAATGTATATCAAGCAATTCAACACCCTCCCTCACGTGCAACCCCATCTTGCACGTGGAGAGACAAACAGAGAACCAATCAGAAGGAGAAGCAAACAACCAAATAAAGAGGAAGAAACCAAACAGGGACATAATACCAAATGCTAATGGAGAGATGTGAACCCATGTTAAGTTACCAATTTCCCCAAAAGCCTAAGCTGTTAGGAAATGAGCCCAACTATGTATATCCTATGTTATATGGACTCGGGTATGGGTGTCGGATGCAGATATGTATTTAGAGGTCGGACTCATCAAATCATAAATTTAAGGGTACGCAGACTTGGCAAAAAAGTGTCATTTTTTAATCAAGTATGTGAGATAAAATGGTGCTATATGTAACTTATAGTGTCAAAAAGACATTTCTAGCAATTATACAACAATATGTATGTATAATAATAGTGTTATATAAAATTATATAAGAAGTATCACATATTACATATCCCATGCCCTTGTCCGAGTGTCGGATGTCTGACACAATTATTTGATTTATTTTGAAGAGTCTGTGTAACATAGTGTATATCAAGCTATTTAACACCCACATCATATCTTAAATTTCAATATGAGTTGAAACCTTTTTATCCTTCATTTTGAACAGCAAAACTAATAAATCTTCTGAATTTTGTAGAGACATCAGGTTTGTGAGGATTGTATAGGGCCTAGAAACTAACTACTTATGGTTTGACGAGATTTAGAATTTAGGGACACAGAGATAGGCCTCAGATGACTATTGTTGCCTTCTTAATCACTCTCTTTTGCTATACAAAGCATTGCTGACAAAACAAACTTTTGCTTGCCAGTAATTAACATCTTGCACACAATTTTTCAATATTTAAACATGTAAGGCCTCAGACCATTATTTCCTGTTACTATGGTTTATATCCTAATTTATTTATGGTCAGTTCAGTAGATGCAGCATGGAGCTCTAGTTCAAAGTGATATGAGTTGTTAATTTATGATGCCATCTCTATAGTATGCATGTTTGCTTCTTTTACCACTGAATAATCTAAATATTACATAACAAGAAATTTTTTTATACGTCACATCCGTAACTAAAAATTGCTGCCTTCAATTATGTTCTGTAGCTTCTTGGAAAGAGCAGTGGATTTCAAGTTGCCTCAACTCATCGACCTTGTACAAAAGGGCTTTGGTTGTGGAGTGCACCCATAAAGAGAATTGCCCTTGATGGAACTGAATACAACCTTTTACTGTTAGATAGCGAAGGAATTGATGCTTATGATCAAACGGTTAGTTTTTATTCTTTTACAAGAATGAACTGATGGTGATTATGTAACTTTCCCGTATTTGTTCAGAATTACTGTCCTAGATATGTTTCTTGTTATTGTACTCTTCTTACTCATCCTTGAAGTTATTTTTTCTCATTCCCTATATCCAATCTCCATTTTTCTTTCATCTTGTTGGTACTATCTTTTGATGTTTTTTACTGTGTTTATTTATTCATACATTGTGTTCGGATGAAATCTTATTTTCCTTTTTTTTTTCTTCTTTTTCCTTTTGTTTGTGTTCAACAGGGGACATACAGCACGCAGATTTTCTCCTTAGCTGTTCTCTTATCAAGCATGTTCATATACAATCAGGTTGGTTAGACAGTCTGACAACTTGATCATTTAAGAGAACATTGTCAGAGTCTCCCAACTTGTGATTTGATGCATCTTTTGTTCTCAAATATAGCTTTTAATGTCTGTAATTTATATCAGATTTATTCTTTGCCTATCTTACTTAATCTGCTATTTATGTTTTCTGTATAATTCAGATGGGTGGTATTGATGAAACAGCGCTTGATCGCCTCTCTCTTGTTACTGAAATGACTAAACATATTCGTGTTAGAGCCTCTGGAGGAAGGAGTACTGCTTCTGAGCTTGGGCAATTCTCCCCAATTTTTGTCTGGCTTTTAAGGGTATTTTGGTGTCTATCATTGTTTATCTGTTTGTTCAAATATTAAATATAAACTGTCATGTCAGCTGGTATTTGTTCTGTGGTTTTCCAATATGAGTTTTTTGATAGTATTGACAGGCTCCCGTGCCTGCTTGTGTGGGGCGTCTGGATTATCTATTCATGGTGACTTCTAAGTTTAACTTCTTACTTGCAGGACTTCTATTTAGACTTGGCGGAGGATAATAGGAAAATAACTCCCCGTGACTACTTAGAGCTAGCTTTGAGGCCAGTTCAAGGTAGTGGAAGGGATATAGCTTCAAAAAATGAGGTTATCATCTAGCCCTACTGCTTCTGGTGATAAAATTGTAGTATATTAAGTGAAAGCACCTGCACGCCTACAATTATTTATGACTTATTTCTGGATTTAAATTTTTTTTTATTTTCCTATGTTTTAGTTTTGAGCACTAGATATTCAAATGCTATCTTGCTGCAATTTTCAAGCGGAGGTACTAATGATACTATAATAATGATTACTAGATTCGTGAGTCCATTCGTGCCCTTTTCCCGGATAGAGAATGCTTCACCCTTGTGCGGCCTTTGAGCAACGAAAATGAACTCCAGCGGCTTGACCAAATTCCTGTCAGTACTTTTTTGTTGTTATATATGTTGTATTACTAATGGTGTTGTTTTTGTTGTCGTTGTTATCATGGTTATGTTTTTTTTTTCTTGTCTGTTTGTTTATTTATTTATTTAATTTTTTTTTGTGTGTGATGCAGATGGACAAATTAAGATCAGAATTTAGATCTGGTCTGGATGCTTTGACAAAGTTTGTTTTTGAGAGGACTAGGCCCAAGCAACTTGGGGCAACAGTAATGACAGGACCCATTCTTGCTCGTATCACTCAATCTTTTCTCGATGCAATTAATAATGGTGCAGTGCCTACAATAACTTCCTCATGGCAGGTTACTACAGTTTCTGGAGCTCTACGTTGTTTCCTGTTCACCTTGTTTCTTACATTTCAGTTTAAACAAAATATAGGACACAATATGTAAGCGTATAATTTTATATAATTGTTATACGTCATATTTTTTAATTTTATAAATTGATTTTATGTCAAATATTTATAGGTCCCAGAAAAATAGGAAGACCAAAAAAACGTTGCAATTCAATGGGCTGTTTTTCTAAATTACAACGAAGATAAATTCTACATAACAAATTGCAAATTGATGGAATTTTTAGCTTAAAAATCAAATATACCCTTTTTTTTCATCCCCTCTTGATTTCCTTCTCCCTCCCTCCTCGGCAACTCGGGCAGCCACACCTGCTGTCTGCCAGCCACCTTCCCCGGCCACCCCCAACCTTTTCCCTATCTTGTCCGCCACAGCTAGCCCCTCTACTACCCTCTTTGTCCTCTGGCCATGCTTCCCCTCCTCTCTTATACTCCGGCCACCTCTTTCCCCTACGCACCGCAGCCCCAGTACCCCTTCACCATCAAAACCCCTTCTCTACCATCCTCCGTCTTCTCCTGTGCCTCCCCACCCTCCTCTACCGTCCTCTACCCTCTGCAAACTCATTCCCTCCAGAGAGGTATTTGTGCTTCATAGATTATCATTAATATTGGTGTTATGTAGTAACTTTCTTTCTTTTCTTTTCTTTTTTTAATTTATTTTATTTTATTTTAAATAACAATTAAAGCTGGAAGGAAAGGACAGTTTAAATGCTTTCCGTGGTGTAGTGCCGACCTCACATCCATGGTAGAAAATATTTCTTGTATGGTTTATGTGCTTGCTTGACAAAAACTTTTTTGTGAAATACACGATATTTGTTACCCTTGGTTTGATGAGTTCAAATCGTGGCAATTACTAATAGAGAATTTTCCTTAATCAATTCATGGTCACAAATAGAAGATAAATAAACAAGACAAAAATATAAAGAGATCAGTTTGGTTTTCACTTTTTGATATTGATACGGCCATTTATAGTATAGTGGTTCATGAAGGATTCAAAGTTTGGTTTCAATTCATTTTTGCATTGCTCAAGTAAGCTTCCTAGCACACAAGCACATACACTGTTGAGTGTCGGGATTTTTTTGATGAGAAAAATGTTTGTAACTACTGTTACCACTTTCCACTAGGCCAATATAGAGTTCATATCTTCACTTCGTCACTGCTACGTTTTGTGGAAAAGGAGCATATAGAGTTGATAGTTTTTGTAGAAATGTTGATAATTGGTTTTAAATGTGAAGCTAGGATTTCATAGAATAAGATTTTTTATTTCTTTGTTTCTGACCTTGTAATTGTGTATCAGGTTAGTGCACCACTGTAGTGAGAAGAATTATGATGATTCCCAACATCTTTTTTGATTTTATCGAATAATTATATATAGTAATATTGATTTCTTTAGTTTCGCAAACTCAAACTGAAATAAATATTTAAGTGGTGAAGTTTTAGTAACAAGGATCGGTCCAGTCAATTGAAGTGCTCTAGTTATTACTGGGATACAATGTTGGTGCTGTTCTGGCAATGCGAAGAAACAAAAATGCGGAAACGATAATTCTAATGGAAAGGAAAAACTATGCTTTAATAATTTATGCAAAAAAGTGGACCATCTTTGTGACATTTTGTGGTTTCTTTTTGGGCTTCCATCTTGTTTGATTTGGTATGTCTTGTTAATACCCTTTTCCTTAGCCACTGATTTAGTTTGTCTGTCTTTATTTCTTTTGTGCTTTGATTAGAGCCTCCACTATTTAAAAGAATGACCACTACATTTTTTTGGCTATGAATCCCATATGTATAGCAAATGGTACTGCCCCTAGACTATTTCCTCAAATTCAATTGAATTTTTGAATTTTTATTTTTGGGTAATGTTAAAATACTTTCCTTAAATTTAGGAAATGGTATTATGGTTTGAGACGCTCATTATTGAGACAACAATGTTGAAGGGTTCTTTAGAGGAAATTCTTGTAGATATCAAATGATACTCATGTCCCAATATTTGTTCATTATGAAGAAGAAGAACTGAACTGTTAGTGAATTCTTGGAGGAATTTATTGTGAAGAGTAGTGATACTTGTCTTTTTGTTGTTTCTTATTTTTCGTATTATTTGGTTATGAAATGTTGTAGGTTTGAACTTCTATTGATGGAAGCAAGATGTGTACTTGAGCAAAGTTCATATTAGTTTTAAATGAATTTCCCCTGGAGGTTTCAATTTATATTTTTTTGCAGAGTGTTGAAGAAGCAGAGTGTCAAAGAGCTTATGATTTAGCAACTGAAGTTTATATGTCTGGTTTTGACCGTTCAAAGCCCCCTGAGGAAGTGAGTGTCACTTTCTTCCTATTAATTGTTGAATTATATTGCTTTCTAATTTCAAGGTGGTTGTAGGCTGCACTAAGGGAAGCACACGAAGAAGCATTTAAAAAATCGATGTCTGCATTTAATGGTAGTGCTGTAGGGTCTGGTTCAACAAGGCAGAAATATGAAAAGCGTCTCCAGAACTTCTTAAGGAAGGCATTTGAGGTAAAAAAAATTTCTTGTACTTTACTTTTTCTGCTTAAAGATATTTTTAGTAACACAAATTGTTAGATGCATATAGATGATGGCCTTGCTTAGCATTATGTAGTTTCTTTTATTGATATCTTCTTCTTCTTCTTCTTCTTCTTCTTCTTCTTTATTTATTTATTCTTTGTTATGTGACCAGAAATTGCATCAGTCTATGCACTTTCTGCCATCCTATGATTAGCATCTGAATAATTTATGATTATTGTAAAGTGTGTATGAGCAGAAGAATTAAGTCCTAACATTTAAGGATGTATTCATCTAGTAGTGTATAATTATTATATGCTGGTTGCTATTGTTCCAAGCATGCTATGAATTTGTAGATTTTAACTGCAAACAATGAAGTGAGTAAGTTGATATTCTGGGAATCTGTATAAAAAGGAATTACAGGCTAATGATGTTGGAGGCAAAAGTTTGAATCTCTATCTTGCCCAAATGAATGAATTGTGAATGTTCATATACGGGGCTGAAGCCTGCAAATTTTTATTTATTTATTTATTTTACCTACAATTGATTTTTTAGATATAATGAGTGACAGATGAACAGTATGTGTCATGTCTCTCCTGGTCCTTGCACGTGTGTTAGTTATAAAATGCCACACATGTAACAACTGTGTGTGAAATAGAGTGATGGTATCTTAATCAGCTGACAGTATGTCTGAACAATTTACTTATTGGGTTAGTTTTACATAAATTCTTAATCTAATGAATTATAGTTTGCTACCTTTGAAGATTACATATTTATGAGTTTTAGGTGATATATGCTGTGAAAGCTCATTTTTTACTTTATAAGAACCAACAAAATCTACCATGCAGAAGTCTCACCAACATATTTGGGACTTCGGGTTTTGAGTAAAAACTGGAACATATGCAGGCCATGATTTAAACTAGGATAGGATTTGGTTTGGCTCAGATCAGACTTTGAATCTGAATTTCCAGTGTCTACTTCAGCAAAATTTGCAGATGACAACCTACAGATTAGCTTTTCGCTGTGCACCCAGGAAAAATTTGAAGTCTTCCACTTTGAGTGAATAGTTATAGAGTATGCAGGGTGTGATATCTTTGGAAATTACCTAAATTAGATTCATTCTGTCAAGTAGTTATTGCCCACCTTTATTTTGACACAATTGCAGGAACTGATTTAGATTTGTTACTGATGCAGGACTTCAAAAGGGATGCTTTTAGAGAGGCATACTTACAATGTTCAAATGCTATACAGAACATGGAAAAGGAACTAAGAACAGCTTGTCATGCTCCTGATGCAAAAATAGATAATGTTCTTAAGGTAAGCATGAATCGTTCTGGTTGTTGTATTTGAAATTGAAAGCAAACATTTTGTTTTTAGTGTCAGAAGAATTAATTTCAAGCATTCTTTGGCTGACTGATAGACTACCATTAAAAACAAGAGATTTAACAATAGGCCAAGTGGTTGATGCTTGTGGCTAGGGGTGCGGTTTGCGTAGTTTGAGTGCAGTAAGCTGTTTTGGAAGGTTAATATAACAAGTTGTGGTAACAGCAGGAGTGGCAGCAATATTGCATGGACAAGGACATGATACAGAGGATTCCTTGCACTGCTAGTCGCAAGGGATTCTGTTGTAAGCATATGCAGTTTTCCCTAATTTCTACTTGATATCAATTAATTAATCCTTAGTCATCCTCTCTTTTCTTTCTTTCTTTCTTTCTTTCTTTATTTTAAACTGGATTGTTGCGCGTGGTTGCTCTCTCCTCTGGTACACTATGAGGGTTTGTAGAATTAGTAAATGCATAGATTTGGCATGTTGTTGGTCCTTGGAATATGATATGTCTATGACTTCGCTATGCAGGTTCTTGATGATCTTGTGGCCAAGTATGAAGCATCGTCACATGGTCCAGAAAAATGGCAGAAACTGACTGCATTTTTAAGGCAGAGGTTTGTATCAGCAATTGTTACTTAATAATATGGTTTTGAATCTTAACTTACTATCTAACTTTGTCAATCTCCCCAGTTTGGAAGGTACAGTTGCTGATCTCATTAAGAAGCAAATAGATCGAGTTGGATCAGAGAAGAGCTCCCTCATGTTGAAATGCCGCTCAATTGAAGATAAGATGGGGTTGCTCAACAAGCAATTGGAAGCTAGTGAAAAGTATAAATCTGAATATTTGAAGCGTTATGAGGATGCTATAAATGACAAGAAGAAGCTTGCTGATGATTATATGAGTCGGATTACGAACTTGCAGAGCAAATGTAGCTCACTGGAAGAGAGGTGTTCTAGCTTATCGAAAACATTAGATTCTGCCAGGTTGGAGTCCACAGATTGGAAAAGAAAATATGAACAGGCTCTATCAAAACAGAAGGCTGAAGAAGGTCAGGCAAGCTCAGAAATAGCGATTCTCAAGTCGAAGAGCAGTGCTGCAGAGGCAAGGTTGGCTGCTGCAAGGGAACAAGCTCAGTCTGCTCAAGAGGATGCAGAGGAGTGGAAACGGAAGTATGACATTGCTGTTAGAGAAGCAAAAGCTGCTCTAGAGAAGGCAGCAGTTGTTCAAGAACGGTCAAATAAGCAAACACAGCTGAGGGAAGATGCTTTGAGAGAAGAATTTTCTGTTAGCTTGGCTGAGAAGGTGAATCTCTCTCTCTCTCTCAGTAATTCCTTGTGCCATAAATTATGATTATGGCACTTCAGGATGCCAAAAGATTGATGTATTTTCTTTGCTAATGAACTTGCAGGAAGAGGAAATAAAGGATAAGGCTGCAAAGATTGAATATGCGGAGCAGCGCTTGACTACTTTTAGTTTGGAATTGAAGGTCAGTTTGGGGGTGTTAACACCATCTAGAAACAATCCATTACATCATGCACATGCGCATTGCTTTTACATGGATACACATTAGGACGGGAACAATCAGAAACGGATGTAGATATCATTTACTCATACTATGTGATGGTTTAAATATGCTTTGCATTTTGATGTGATATTTGGTTCATTGGTAGAATATAGATATCATGATGGGTTTGATTGATATACATATAGTGGACTGTTGCTGTGTAGTGGTGGCTGTGTTTCTACTTGTAGGCTAAGTAGCACAAATAAGGACGAGACATGACACAAACATGCTGACACGTTGATTTTTTGAAAAATGTGAGACACAACACGTTAGGTACACCTTAAAATTTTATATTTTTGTAAATTTATTATGTCATATATATGTAATTTATTGAAAGATAATGAAAAATATTTAGTGCGTAATACTTCATTATATTAAAATGCTTTTATAACTTAAATATCAAAATATCATTCATGTAACAATTACATTGTAAATGATGCAAAACGATTATAGAACCAGTGTTTTAAAAAGCTCTAGGCATACCGAGGCGATAAGGTCTCCTATAGCCTTAGCGCGAGGCGCGAGGCGAGGCGCGCGCCTCACCAAAGCGAAGCTCAAATAGTAGAAGAAAAGCAAAATTATAAAATAGGTAAAATTTTTAACATAAAAAATATATATATAAAATTTAAAAAATCATAACAATTTTCGATAATCTCGAAACATAGCATTCAATCTTCTAAAAATTAGAAATATAATATCCAACAAGAGATATAAAGCATAGCATTCAATCTTTTATCACTTTCTGCTATCTTTTGACCACATTTAGTCATTTTATATTGAAGAGTTTTGAATCCCTATAGGCATGCCCACAAAAAAAACACTTAATTGACAATTAGAGTAGAAAAATGGCTAAAGCCCGCGCCTCGAAAAAAAGCCCTCACCTTAGCGCCTAAGCTGCGCCTTGCGTATTGCGCCTCGCCTCGACCTGTTCGAGGTGCAAGGCTGCGCCTCGCGCGCTTTTTTAAAACACTGTATAGAACATTATAATACACATGATGTATTCGTCATATAAATATTTCAGAACATATTTAGAGTGCATAAGTTGTTATGAAGAATGTAAAACGTTGTTTGGAGTGTTCAAGAAGTGTCCGGGAAGTGTTGGTACAATGTCTGATATTATAAATGTAAGATAAATTGATGAATTGATGTATATTATTGATAGATGTGTATTGTATAATGTTATTTTTATTACAATGATTCATGATTACTATATATAGAAGAGGGTGAGTGTGTAGTAGGTAAGGAGTAGGTGAAGTGGAGGTGGTAGTGGTGTAGTGGGTTAGGTTTAGTAGAGTAGGTTTAAGTGGGTGAAGTAGGTGATAGGTTTTAACAGCCCCCCATTATCTACCACCAACACCACTATCATATTCTATACATGCCATTATCTACCACCAACACCACTATCATATTCTATACATGCCATTATCTACCACCAACACCACTATCATATTCTATACATGCCATTATCTACCACCAACACCACTATCATATTCTATACATGCCATTATCTACCACCAACACCACTATCATATTCTATACATGCCATTATCTACCACCAACACCACTATCATATTCTATACATGCCATTATCTACCACCAACACCACTATCATATTCTATACATGCCATTATCTACCACCAACACCACTATCATATTCTATACATGCCATTATCTACCACCAACACCACTATCATATTCTATACATGCCATTATCTACCACCAACACCACTATCATATTCTATACATGCCATTATCTACCACCAACACCACTATCATATTCTATACATGCCATTATCTACCACCAACACCACTATCATATTCTATACATGCCATTATCTACCACCAACACCACTATCATATTCTATACATGCCATTATCTACCACCAACACCACTATCATATTCTATACATGCCATTATCTACCACCAACACCACTATCATATTCTATACATGCCATTATCTACCACCAACACCACTATCATATTCTATACATGCCATTATCTACCACCAACACCACTATCATATTCTATACATGCCATTATCTACCACCAACACCACTATCATATTCTATACATGCCATTATCTACCACCAACACCACTATCATATTCTATACATGCCATTATCTACCACCAACACCACTATCATATTCTATACATGCCATTATCTACCACCAACACCACTATCATATTCTATACATGCCATTATCTACCACCAACACCACTATCATATTCTATACATGCCATTATCTACCACCAACACCACTATCATATTCTATACATGCCATTATCTACCACCAACACCACTATCATATTCTATACATGCCATTATCTACCACCAACACCACTATCATATTCTATACATGCCATTATCTACCACCAACACCACTATCATATTCTATACATGCCATTATCTACCACCAACACCACTATCATATTCTATACATGCCATTATCTACCACCAACACCACTATCATATTCTATACATGCCATTATCTACCACCAACACCACTATCATATTCTATACATGCCATTATCTACCACCAACACCACTATCATATTCTATACATGCCATTATCTACCACCAACACCACTATCATATTCTATACATGCCATTATCTACCACCAACACCACTATCATATTCTATACATGCCATTATCTACCACCAACACCACTATCATATTCTATACATGCCATTATCTACCACCAACACCACTATCATATTCTATACATGCCATTATCTACCACCAACACCACTATCATATTCTATACATGCCATTATCTACCACCAACACCACTATCATATTCTATACATGCCATTATCTACCACCAACACCACTATCATATTCTATACATGCCATTATCTACCACCAACACCACTATCATATTCTATACATGCCATTATCTACCACCAACACCACTATCATATTCTATACATGCCATTATCTACCACCAACACCACTATCATATTCTATACATGCCATTATCTACCACCAACACCACTATCATATTCTATACATGCCATTATCTACCACCAACACCACTATCATATTCTATACATGCCATTATCTACCACCAACACCACTATCATATTCTATACATGCCATTATCTACCACCAACACCACTATCATATTCTATACATGCCATTATCTACCACCAACACCACTATCATATTCTATACATGCCATTATCTACCACCAACACCACTATCATATTCTATACATGCCATTATCTACCACCAACACCACTATCATATTCTATACATGCCATTATCTACCACCAACACCACTATCATATTCTATACATGCCATTATCTACCACCAACACCACTATCATATTCTATACATGCCATTATCTACCACCAACACCACTATCATATTCTATACATGCCATTATCTACCACCAACACCACTATCATATTCTATACATGCCATTATCTACCACCAACACCACTATCATATTCTATACATGCCATTATCTACCACCAACACCACTATCATATTCTATACATGCCATTATCTACCACCAACACCACTATCATATTCTATACATGCCATTATCTACCACCAACACCACTATCATATTCTATACATGCCATTATCTACCACCAACACCACTATCATATTCTATACATGCCATTATCTACCACCAACACCACTATCATATTCTATACATGCCATTATCTACCACCAACACCACTATCATATTCTATACATGCCATTATCTACCACCAACACCACTATCATATTCTATACATGCCATTATCTACCACCAACACCACTATCATATTCTATACATGCCATTATCTACCACCAACACCACTATCATATTCTATACATGCCATTATCTACCACCAACACCACTATCATATTCTATACATGCCATTATCTACCACCAACACCACTATCATATTCTATACATGCCATTATCTACCACCAACACCACTATCATATTCTATACATGCCATTATCTACCACCAACACCACTATCATATTCTATACATGCCATTATCTACCACCAACACCACTATCATATTCTATACATGCCATTATCTACCACCAACACCACTATCATATTCTATACATGCCATTATCTACCACCAACACCACTATCATATTCTATACATGCCATTATCTACCACCAACACCACTATCATATTCTATACATGCCATTATCTACCACCAACACCACTATCATATTCTATACATGCCATTATCTACCACCAACACCACTATCATATTCTATACATGCCATTATCTACCACCAACACCACTATCATATTCTATACATGCCATTATCTACCACCAACACCACTATCATATTCTATACATGCCACTATCTACCACCAACACCACTATCATATTCTATACATGCCACTATCTACCACCAACACCACTATCATATTATATGTATGAACACAATTTCCAGCAGTTAACACCATCTAGAAACAATCCGTTACATCATGCACATGCGCATTGTTTTTACATGGATACACATTAGGACGGGAACAATCAGAAACGGAATATACTGATTTTTATATGCTAGTTTGTAGAGATCATTTACTCATACTATGTGATTGTTTAAATATGCTTTGCATTTTGATGTGATATTTGGTTCATTGGTAGAATATAGATATCATGATGGGTTTGATTGATATACATATAGTGGACTGTTGCTGTGTAGTGGTGGCTGTGTTTCTACTTGTAGGCTAAGTAGCACAAATAAGGACGAGACATGACACAAACATGCTGACACGTTGATTTTTTGAAAAATGTGAGACACAACACGTTAGGTACACCTTAAAATTTTATATTTTTGTAAATTTAGTATGTCATATATATGTAATTTATTGAAAGATAATGAAAAATATTTAGTGCGTAATACTTCATTATATTAAAATGCTTTTATAACTTAAATATCAAAATATCATTCATGTAACAATTACATTGTAAATGATGCAAAACGATTATAGAACCAGTGTTTTAAAAAGCTCTAGGCATACCGAGGCGATAAGGTCTCCTATAGCCTTAGCGCGAGGCGCGAGGCGAGGCGCGCGCCTCACCAAAGCGAAGCTCAAATAGTAGAAGAAAAGCAAAATTATAAAATAGGCAATATTTTGAAGATAAAAAATATATATATATATATAATTTAAAAAATCATAACAATTTTTGATAATCTCGAAACATAACATTCAATCTTCTAAAAATTAGAAATATAATATTCAACAAGAGATATAAAGCATAACATTCAATCTTTTATCACTTTCTGCTCTCTTTTGACCACATTTGGTCATTTTATATTGAAGAGTTTTGGTGTTGGAGAGGCGGCAGTAGTGGTGGGTCAGTGGAGATGTTGAGGAAGAGGGTGAGTAGGTTGAGAAATTAGGGTTTTGATTTTCTAAGGTTTGAGTCTTTTGTGGTAATTTTAAATAGGGATAAAATAGTATAAAAAAAAAAAAATTGAAAAATGGAGTGTGTGATGAGATGATTTGGTAGTGTAAATAGAAGCCCCCATATAAAATGCATACGGTACATTTTGATAAATTTACTATTATGCCCACGCATAGATATTTAATTCTTAATATGGTAATTATGATTAGTGGTGTCATATATGAACGAAAATGCGAGCCAGCTTGAGTTAAACTTGGTATAGAACCTTGTAGCCATATATGCATGTCGATAAATATATACTATGTATTCATGGTATTTAATTGTGCTCTGCTCTCATTACAGGCTGCTGAGTCAAAGATAAGGAATTATGATTTAGAAATTTCAAAGGTGAAGCATGAAATTAAGGAGTTGGGCGAAAAGTTAGAAACTGCAAATGCAACAGCTCAATCATTTGAAAGACAAACTAAGATGTTGGAACAAGAAAAATTATATTTGGAGCAAAAATACCAATCTGAGTTCGACAGGTTTGAGGAAGTTCAAGACAGGTGTAAAACTGCTGAGAGAGAAGCGAAAAGAGCTACTGAGTTAGCTGATAAAGCGCGGGCCGAGGCAGCCACTGCTCAAAAGGAAAAGAGTGAGATTCAGCGAATAGCAATGGAAAGGTTGACCCAAATTGAGAGGGCCGAGAGGCACATTGAAAGTTTACAGAGGCAGAAAGCTGACCTGTCTAATGAAGCTGAGAGGTACCGTGTCGCTGAAATGGATGCGGTTTCCAAAGTTGCAATGCTGGAGGCAAGGGTTGAAGAAAGGGAGAGAGAAATCGAAACGCTTTTAAAATCCAACAATGAACAGAGGGCTACAACGGTTCAAGTCCTTGAGAGTCTGTTAGAGACCGAGCGTGCAGCACGTGCAGAAGCAACCAACAGGGCCGAAGCGCTCTCGGTAAAGTTGCAAGCCACACAAGGAAAACTTGATGCACTCCAGCAAAAGATGACAGAAGTTCGTCTAAACGAAACAGCATTGGATAATAAGCTGAAAACTCAATCTCATGGAAAACGGGTAAGAGCAGATGGATATGAAATGGGTGTCGACTCTGTTCAGGATATGGATATCAATGAGAAAGGAGTGAGAGGAAATAAGAGGTCAAGAAGTACAACCAGCCCGTTAAAGACAACGCAGCCAGAAGATGGAGGTTCAGTGTTCAAGGGTGATGATGAGAATCACAGCCAGCAAACCGATTCAGATGATTATACGAGGTTCACTGTTCAGAGACTCAAGCAGGAACTCACAAAGCATAATTTTGGTGCTGAGCTGCTTCAATTGAAGAATCCCAACAAGAAAGATATCGTTTCGCTTTACGAGAAACACGTTCTCCCGAAGTTGTAATAAATGAAATTGTTGGCTATCTTAGGAAGTTTGGTTCAATGTATTGATTTGATAGAGAACTGGGTTATGAACTTAGAGTAACGAAACACGATGGTGGGTTGTTTTTCTGAAACATCATCAGCATTAGTACAGAGCTTTTACTTCTGTTTTTGGTGTAATTAGAAAGGTTTTTCTTCGTATTTCTTGTTTGTGTGGAATGTTAATTTTGTAGTTATTTTTGGTGAAATATTTTTATATAATTTGTGTGATTATTACTATGTTTAAGTAACCACAACAGCATATATTGCATGTGGCTGTTAACACTTGTCTGTGCTTAGGGTTTTGTGATGTTGAGGTGGGAAATTTCTATGAGATCTGTAATGTAAGTTATGAATAATAGTGCGGAGTCTGATATTCTAGTTTATGTGTTTTTATTGTGTTTTCGCTCCATTATTATTCATCGTGCTATACAGGGTTATTATTGAAATGAGTTCATTCGCATGCCAGGATATTTGCAATTTGGTTTTCTTTGCTTTGATAGGTGGTTCTTTTTCTTTTTTGCTTTCATATTCCCTCGCTCCTACATTTCTTCTCTTGTTAGTGTTTCAAAATAATAGCGTTAGGGTTTTAAAAGGTTAATTACATTTTACCTCTTTATGGTTTGATCGAAAAACACATTATCTCTATGTAGTTTAGAAATATATACTTAACCCCTTTATAGTTTGGAGTGAAGTGTAATGTAACAGATTTTGTCTAAGTTAACTGTGTATGTGTAACACATTGAATTAAGCGCGTGAGATATACATTAGCCTCAAAATAGATTGATAAAATGACATTTTTGCCCCTTTTTTTTTCTTTTTTTCTTTTTCTTCTCTGTTTTTCTTTTCTTCTGTTCTCTTTTCTTCTTCGCTTCTTATTACTGTATTGCAGCAGCTAACCCACTTTACCCTCGCCTTCTACTTCTATCTTGCAACTACCCATTATCTCCTTCCTTTCATTTCCTTTAATTTTTACCATGGTTACAGGATACATGTATATATGTATTGATGTATATAGGGGTGTGGATTAGTGCCTTATTGGTTGGGGGACAACCATGGCTGCTTCCTTGAAAAAAGAAAATAAAGGAGAAAAGAACATAAATTGGTAAGGTAGCCAAAGAAAGAATTGGTTGGTGATTTCAATTATACCAATATGATATACATACATACATACATACATACATACATATATATATATATATATATATATATGTAGTAGTGTATGTGTGTGGTTTTAATTTGGGAAAAACCTTTTTGATTATGATATGCAACATGGGTTGAGCTTCTTGTTTGAGTTTCAGTTTTTGCTGGGGGGTTGCTGTGCATTTGGGACCCAGAGGTCTTTTAACTGAAGGAGTGTTGCAGCAATAGAAGGTTTCTAAATCTTTTGAGTGTTATTGAATGTTTATGCTCCCAGTGATACAAACAGTAGAAGCAAGCTTTAGGATTGCTTGTTAAAACTCGAGAGTGATTTCCAAAATCCTTGGTGTATGGGATGGGATTTCAATGAAATCAGAAATATAGGGGAGAGAATTGGTTGTTCAAGAAGAGAGAAAGGAATGAGGGACTTCAATTATTTTATAGATAAATGTGAAGTGATTGAAATACCTTTACTGGGTAGGAAGCTTACTTGGTGCAATGCTCAGAATGGGAAAATGTGGAGTAGGATTGATAGGGTAATGCTTAACCCTGAATGGCTAGTGATGTTCAAAATGAAATTATGGGGTCTGCCTAGGTTGGTTTTTGACCATTGTCCATTACTATTAATAGAAGATGAGAGGGATTGGGGTCCTAGGCCATCTGGGTTCATTAATGCATGGACGCTATACCCAAACTTCTCCTCAATCCTGGAGAAAACATGGAATGAGATCACAATAGATGGATGGGTTGGGCATGTTTTACTGCAGAAATTGAAGATGTTGAAAGTAATATTAAAGAAGTGGAACATTGAAGTGTATGGGAATGTTTCAACAAAATGAAAGAGGCAGAAATTGAACTTGACTCACTGGACATCATTGCTGAAGGCAGACCTTTAAATAATGCTGAAAAAGATAGAAGAAAGGAATTGAAAGGTGAAGTGTGGAGACTGAATAGAATGGTGGAATGGCTTTGGTAACAAAAGTCTAGAGTGAACTGGACCCTAAATGGGGACAAGAACACTAAATTCTTCCATATTATGGAGTAGGAATCTGATTAATGACATAACAGTTAATGGTGAGGTCCTTGAAGAACCATCAAGGGTAAGGCAGGAGGTGTTATTGCATTTCAAAACACAATTTACTGAGAGCTGGGGTTCAAGACTAGTTTTGGAGGGGGCATTCAAATCTGTGGAAGCAAGTTTTGCATTTCAAGGTTTAGAAGTTGAGTTATCAGAAACTGAGATTTAGGCTGCATTTATGGAATGTAATGGCAATAAAGCACCAGGTCCAGATGGGTTTAATTTACTCTGCTACCAAAAACAATGGAAGGTTATAAAGAAGGAGATAATTAAGTTCATGAAGGAATTTTACAGCCAAAGCAAGTTATCCTATGTTATTAATAGTTCATTCATTACACTGATTCCAAGGAAAGAAAATCCATCAGAGATGGCTGATTACAGACTCATCCTTCTAGTGAGCTCTATGTATAAGATCCTATCAAAAGTCCTAGCACACAGATTGAAGAGGGTACTTACTGAAATTATTGGCGGATCACAATCAGCTTTCATAGGAGGAAGAAATATTCTAAAGGAGTGTTTATAGCAAATGAAATAGTGGATGGACGAAAGAAATCTAAAAAGAAAGGTGTAGTTATTAAGCTTGATTTTGAGAAAGTTTATGACTCAATCAACTGAAAATTTCTCTTCTCTATGCTTGGAAATTTTGGCTTTGGTGAAAGGTGAATCTCTTGGATGAGAGAATGTGCATCTTCAGCAAGGTAATCTGTGCTTGTGAATGGGTCACCAACTAATGAGTTTTTGCCTCAGAGAGGATTGAGACAGGGTGATCTCCTCTCCCTCTTTTTGTTCAATATAGTGGCTGAGGGTTTAAATATCCTCATGAATAGAACTTTTGATTTGGGTATCATAAAAGGGGTGAAAATAGGGGCAAATGAGGTTTTGGTATCCCATCTGCAATTTGCTGATGATACATAATTTTCTATGAAGTTGAGCTGGAGCAATTATTGTGCACTAAAAGGATCTTAAGATGCTTTGAAGTTAGTGTAGTATGTGAAGTTGGTGTTGATATGAGTCTTAGTCATGTATGTTGATTTGTTGAACTATAAGATCCATGGACGGTGGGTTGGAAGTGATGATGGTTCAATAAATGGGTTAGGTTGGGATGTTATATATTACATTTAAGATGTGTTTGATTGGGGGGATAAGGGGAGACTATTTATTGTGCGGATTGTAATTCGGGGGAAGCATCCAATTCGACGTTTATTTTTTTTAGGTCCGCCGGATATAGAGTCCGGTCGGACTCCTTATCTCCCATATGGGGGATTATACTATCCTAAGGGGGGTGCGGGACAATTTTGGAGAGACTATTTACTGTTGGAATTAGGTGGTGAAATGATCATTTTGAACCTCTACTATTTAATTATGTATTATATTTAGTAAAATTCAATAAAATTTAAATGTCTCAATTTAAAAATAAAATAAACATCTAATCTCAAGATATGTTTAATATTACTATTACTTAGTAAACAATTGAAAAATGATAAAATAGTCTTTTGTTTATTTATTCTATCCAGTTCGTCCAACCAAGCATTGAATTCACTAAAAATAGTCATTTCTGGACATCTAATCTCAAGATATGTTTAATATTACTATTACTTAGTAAACAATTGAAAAATGATAAAATAGTCTTTTGTTTATTTATTCTATCCAGTTCGTCCAACCAAGCATTGAATTCACTAAAAATAGTCATTTCTGGACATCTAATCTCAAGATATGTTTAATATTACTATTACTTAGTAAACAATTGAAAAATGATAAAATAGTCTTTTGTTTATTTATTCTATCCAGTTCGTCCAACCAAGCATTGAATTCACTAAAAATAGTCATTTCTGGACATCTAATCTCAAGATATGTTTAATATTACTATTACTTAGTAAACAATTGAAAAAAGGTAAATAGTCTTTTGTTCATTTATTCTATCCAGTCCGTCCAACCAAGCGTTGAATTCACTAAAAATAGTTATTTATAGACATCTAATCTCATGAAAAAATAAACACAGGATAAATTCCCAATCTAACCAAATAGTCCAAGGGATTCACAGTCCTAGGACTCAAGTTCGACAGACTGGATAGGGGGGGATTAAAATCCATCGGATTTGAATCCTGGGACTGTGAATCCCCCAGACTATTTGGTTAGATTGGATTTGTATCCCGTGTTTGTTTTTTTATGGGATTAGATGTCTGGAAAGAACTATTTTTAGTGAATTCAATGTTTGGTTGGACGGACTGGATATGATAAATGAATAAAATACTATTTTACATTTTTTTCAATTTTTTACTAAATAATAGCAATATTAAACATATCTTTAATATTTTAATTATTTTTAGCTAGATTAAATAAAATTTTATTTTATTTTATTTTATTTTTTACAAAAATAAATAAATTTATTTTTTAAAAAATAAATAAATAAATGAATAAAATATCAATAAAAATATATGTTATTTTTTAAATTAAAATTTTAAATAAATTTATTTTTAAAAATAATAATAATTAAACAATGAAATAAATAAAACATCTATTAAAATTTAAATAATGAAATTAAATAAAATATACACAAAATTTTAAAATAAAACATCAATAAAATATCTATAAAAAATTATTTAAAAAAATTAAATAAATAAAACATCAATAAAAAGTTAAACAAAATTAATTTATTTTTACATTGAAACATTTAAATTTTATTGAATTTTACTAAATATAATACATAATTAAATAGGAGAGGGTCAAAATGGTCATTTCACATTCTAATCCCAGCAGTAAATAGTCTAATGAAAATTGTCTCATATCCCCCCCCCAAAGGATAGTATAATCCTCCATATGGGGGATAAGGAGTCCGGCCGGACTCCATGTCCGGTGGACAAAAAAAAAACAAACGGCGGATAAAAAACTTCTCTCAAATTACAATCCCAACAGTAAATAGTTCCTCAATCAAACACACCCTTAGGGGCTAACCCAGGTAGGAAATCTACTTGAAAACCTGTCTGGGATAGTGTCGGGCCAAAATTAGCTAGGTGGAAAAGGAGATTGCCATCCTTCGCAGGTAGGCTAACTTTGATAAAGTCTCTAGGAACAAGTCTTTGTACAGTTCCATCAACAAAATGGAGTACAAGGAAAAGTTAAGAGTATAAAGTTAATAATTTGAATTGAAGGGTGTTTGGGTTGGTAGGGTTTATTTTAAGTCTCATTTTAATAATTTGAATTATTTATTTTATTGAGGCAATTTGTGTATTTCATTGACAAAAAGAAAAAAAAATTGATCCGATAATTGTAACATATTCATTTTATCACATTTGTTAAAAAAAAAAAAAAAAAACCCCGACAATTGTGCATTTACAAATAACATTCATTTTTTTATGACGAATATGATAAATTGAATAAGTTACAATTATTGAATCAACTTAAATTTTTTTATTAATGAAATATACAAAATATCTAATAAAATAAATTATTCAAATTATTAAAACGAGACTCGTGGTCAATTTTAGGAGGCCAAACAATGGAATTCGGATCTACCCAAATTAGGGATTAGCTGAGGTGTGATTTCCCTATTTTACCCTCCAAATCCAATATCATAGGATATCAATGCAGTTGTATTATAATATCCCTCCACATAACCTTGTGTGTTCTCAATTACATGACTTGATTTTTGGTCGAACACTGAATCTGCAAGGCTTGAAGTTGAACCACATTGTCTAGGCTGTGTTTGGTAGAAAACTTTCGAAACCACCACCTCTCCATCTCTCTCTTCCTCATTATTGCCAAGATGGTATTGGTGCATAACCCAATTGGTTTTCTCTGGTTTCCTTTGCCTACCATAGTTGGTGTAGAGCACTAGTATTTTCTTGAACCCTTTCACTGTCCCACCAACAAAAACTGGCCTTGTTTTTCCTGTTTTGTGCCACCTTGTTTCACCGCCATCTTCGTCAGTGTGAACCTTTCTTCTCTTCCTTGTCCCGGTGGTGTATGCCTTTGAAGGCCGGTGGAAGAAGTGGCGGATTTGGCCAACTTTGCTTACACCTACATACCATAGTTGGGGAGTTCATGGAGAGAGAAGAAAACAATTTGTCATGATCAATTGGATAATGATAAAATTATAACATTGAGAAATATGTTAAAATGGGCGGTCTTATCAGTGCCAACTTAGTTGGAATTGATTTGGTTCGCTATGATACATTTTGCACTCATACTCTTTTTCTTTTTTGATGTAATAGTTTTCTGTTTTATCAATAAAGTTTATTTTCTTTGCTGATAAAAAAAAATGGAGTCGGTTTTATCTTTGGGTAGGGTCAAATTGGCCACACTTATCTCGTAACTTTTCATATTGGTTCCGGAGAATTCTGTCAATGTGTTGAGTAGGTATTTTGAGATTACTAAATAGTTGCATATATGGTGACTTTGAATGTTTGTTTTGTTTTGTTTTTTTTTTTTTGTCAATCGGTACGAATATTTAGAAATATGAGAACTAAATCCAACTAAATAACCATAGTCCATCAATACATATCTATAAGCTCAATAACTTGTATTAATTTTTTTTTTTTTAAAAAGTAATGCCATATGTACTATATGTTGATTTCATTAATAATTTTTTTTTTCTTTTTTTTTTGCTGATCAAAAATTAAAAATAAAAAACAAACAACACAAAAAGATTGACCTCCTCACGTCCCAAGGAGTACACACAAATAGTCGAGGTGCACACAAATTTGTCCGAACATCCAGTTATCAAAAAAATTTTAAAAAAATAACAAGTGGTTACTTACCCATATAAATTCTGTTAATTTCTTACCTGACTGAATTTTCTACTTTTGAATTCTTCTTTGGAATTCTTCTTCTTCTGAAATCTTATTATTATTATTATTATTTGCATGGGAGAGAAAGCCGTGTGGATTAACATAACTTCAAAATAATAAGAAGAAGAAAGAACAATGAGTTGTCTTACTAGAGAACATCTTCAAAATATCCATTGCATTTATGTATATACAATTAATGAGTTCTCCCAAATAATTTTTTCAAATACATGTTTGGTTTTTTCAAACAAGAGATTTTTATGAATTGCGTAAGCTTTAGGAGAAATTGTGAAGTGTAACATTTTCAATATTAATTTTGGGAAAACTTAGTCAAAATGGTCATAATTCTACATCGTCATGCATGATATGATACAATTCTGGCTAACTATTTTAAATCACGCAAAACATAACATTTTGAAATATCTATTACACACACATCATATCATCCGATATGGATATGGTTTTTCCAAATACTTATATAGGTAGAAATCAACATCATATGCATATTCGCGATATGTATTGCTTTATGATACGACAGGTGTAGGGGTTCACGACCAATACTAGTAGTTTAGCGGTTACAAATCTATTTCTCGCGGTTAATGATTTTAAAATATTTAATACTCAATTCTCAAAACACATTACTCGATACTCCAAATACTATTACTCTACGACTAATACCAATTAATCTTCTAATATTGCTATTTAAAACCTTGCAAGAAACATTTCTCCAATAACTAGCTAAAAGTCGTGTTATTACCAAAATTTGGCATAAACTCAAGATTTAACATTGCTAAGAGCATCTCCATCCAATTTTAAAAAATTTGTATGCCAAATTATTTTGAAGGTTTAGGTGTCAAATTAACATATAAATGACATCTCTAAATATAAAAAGAATGCATCACCCGATATGCTAAATATATTACTTTACTAGTTTTACTTTAAACTTTATTTACTTTAATATTTTTTAACAATTTTTTTAAGTCTTTACTATTAAAATAATGAACATAAAATAACTTCGCATCTTTTTTTTTTGCTATGTCAAAATAAAATAAATTATTAAACATATTCATTCTGTTTGGTTTTAGTTTTCAGAATTCACTTTTCAGAAAATTATACTTTTTTATTTTTCATATTTTTTTGTTTTCACTGAATTTTTTAAATTTTTAGACACACCTAACATAAATACACTTAAAAAGTATAATATTTGTGAAAAAATCTTTAAAAAATTTACTACATACCAAAAATAAAAAAAATAAAAATTCAGTACATTTTTCATATTTTTGTGTATTTTTTAATTTTTTAAAAATATTTTTTCACAAATATTTTACTATTTAGATACATCTAAGTAATAGATATCTCAAAAAATAAAAAAATTACTACACTGCCAAAAAATAAAAAAATTACTTAAAATTTTAAAAATATTCACTAAAAATAAAAAAATACGAAAAACAAAAAACTTAGTTTTAAAAAGTTAAATTAAAAAAATTGAAACCAAACGTACTAATTAAAAATCAGTCGTTAAGAAAAAAAAAAGTTGTTCTCCTATACTGCCAAGAACACTACTAAAATTAGTAGTGCCACATAGTGGGTGTTTGGGAAGTGAGTTTTTTTGTAGGTTTTTTTAGTTGTAGGATATTATTGGAGAATTTTTTTTTGTATTTGGGAAGATAGTTGGATTTTTTTGTAGTTGAATGTGATATTTGTGAGATAAAAAGTGAAATGATTATGGGGTTTGATGTAATATTTTGTTTGGATTAATTGTTTTTGGTTTTGTAACCAATTTGTCTTTTAGTGGAAAAAAACAAAAAAAAAACAAAAACCAAACTTCCCAAATACCCTACTCAGAACATTTATCCATAAATTTATCTAGAAACTTGAATGAATGGTCTAGATGCATTTTTTATATGCACCCACAACACAAATTGAATCTGAGCCACTCATCTTCATTCTGGAACACCATCTTATATATGAGAATTTAAGATAAAATACTAGAGGAAATATCATTTCAGTAAAACATAGAAAAAAAATTCATATTAACGAAAAGCTTTGCAACATTAGAAGATAAACTTATAAAGTTTTTCATGAAACTGATATTATTTTTGTAAGTTACCACTAAAACATTATTTCCCCAAAATACTACACCTTGTCATTCTGCGGGTCAAATATCCTACAAAAACTTCATGCTCATATTAACTTTTGTCGTGCCCTAAATCTAATGAAGCTATTGAAGAAAATAGCAATGCAGTGGACACACAACTAGTCCACTTCATATTTGCGAATAATAGCCTATCCATAAGGTGCTATAATGATGGGGGGGGGGGGGGGGATACGGTTTTTGCTTAAGATTTAAGATTGTCAGTGCTGATTAGGATATAACTTCTATCATAAAACTTCTTCCTATTCCAATGAACATGTTGTAATTATCTACTTTAAGTTAATGCATTTTATTTTTGCTTATAAAAAATAATAAACCCCCCCCCCCCCTCCCGCCCCCCTTTTTTTTTTCTATCTTTTTTTTCCCTTGGCTTCTAAATTGGTATATGATCAATAATTTAACATGATATTAGAACATCCTTAACTGCTTACTTATATTTTATTTTAAAATATTATTAAAAAATTAATTTTCTATTTTAAGAATCACTTTTTCATTTACTTCCTTCAACAAACTCTCTATTCTTTTTCTATTTTATTAAAATAATCTTTTTAAGTGTTCTTAAATTTAGATATTTTTTTAATAATAAAATAATTAAACAGACAAAAAAGAAAGCAAAAGAAGAAAGAGCAGCAAAAGCTAGGGGACAGTCGACTGGCCGATTGGCTGATCAATCGGCTGGACGTCTAGGAGGTCGACTGATTGGATGTTTGGGTGGACGAACGGCAAAGCAAGTTTTTCCCAGATCACTTCATTTGGAACATTCGGATGTACGACTAATATCAGATATGAGGGAGCTACAGTAACTCTTTATAAATAAGGAGTGACTATAGCAAATATTAGTTTAGGGTGGCTTACAAGGAAACTAATGTGGGTGGTATAAGGGAGCTCCAACCCCCTAAAATAGGTAAGGGAATTAATTAGGGGATTTGCTGAGAATGCTCTTAGAACATACAATAAATTATATGTTCAAACTTTGTCGCTTACCAAAAAAATATAATATTTGAACATGTTTTATTGGTTTATTAAGGCGAGTCAGACCAATTTTAAGATTGGTCGATAATTAATAATTTAACATGACATCAAAGCTGACAAATAAATAATAATATTACATGTTAGAATATTATCATCTACCAAAACACAAACATAAATTACACTCGTAGTACTTATAGTTTGCTTCATATGTCAATGTAATTCGTATAGTTCTAATTTCATTAATTTTATCTTTAAATTTTTTACATTATGTCAATTTAGTTCAACTAATAATGTCATTTTAGAAATTGAACTAAAATCAAAAGATAAAATAGTTAATTCACTATCTTCTCAGTGATCAGAACCGACCCTGGGCTAAGACCACTGAGGCCTGTGCCTTAGGCCCCCCAAAATTGATTCAAAAATTAGAAAAGTATTATAGTATGTTACAAATATAAATAGGCCCAAATTATTTTTGTTGTTTTAGGACCAATCTCAAGGACCCAAAAATATTTTGTTGAGCCCATATTTGCTTATAAGTATGGCTTGGCCCAATTGAAATTAAAATGTATACAAAATATTGGTGACCCTTGAATAAGAAACACTACATATGCATACAAAATGTTAGTGGCCCAAAATAGGGCCCCTAATTTTTTTTGTTTACTTTCTTATCAGATTTTAGTAGAATAAACAATTAATTCAATCTCAATCACATTTATATACAACATATTTAATAAACAACAATGCAACCCACTGAACTACACTCATAAACAACAATTAATTCAATACATATCCAATGCATTTTAATTGCATAAAGTTTTCCTAACTTTGGTAACTTTTTTTTTTTTTTTTTTTTTGGGTATGAATACATTTTGATATTTATTTTGGTATCAATCGACGGTTGTGATACAAAATAAGGTGATTTTTTCGTTTCTTTGTGAATATAGGCATTCGTTTTTGTTTCGTCTTAAGCCCCTGAAAACTCAGAACCGACCTTGTCAGTGATTATAAGGTTGACGTCCAATTTGAAATGGTTCATTCCTTTATGAATGAATAATTTTGTTATTGATTTATGTCCAAATTCTTAACAATGGTTATTGATTGGATTAAATTGTACAGAATATAAAAATTAAAAATTAAAATTAATATAATTAGAATTATAGGGACTAAATTGACAGTAAAGAAAAATTATAAAGATTGTGGATATAATTTGTCCAGTTTACAACGAAGACTCAGCAGCATATAAATAATAAAATTACTCTCTAGAAATTTAACTTTTGAATAAATTTTTAATTAGGTAATCATTCCCAAATCTCTTTTTATCCAATTCATATCAATGATATGAAAATGCTTATCCATCTCAGATGCCTATTCTAGTGAATATGTTGGCATATGAATATGAATATAACCTAACAGATCTACATAAAGGAATGAAGCATATAATTCATGTGCTTAAATATAATAATTTTTTAAAAAAAAGATTAATTACCTGGTAACTTTTCTGGGTGTGTGTAGCAAATTCCATTTCCCCCCTCAATTGTAGGGATAAATTCATCAATTAGAGGATGAATTTTATGGGCATTTGATGACACTTTAGCTTCTAAATGTTGAAGAATTTCTTGATCAGATGGATCAAACTTCACCCCGGCTGGAAGCCCCGGCAAATCTTCAATTCCCGCCTAATTTATTCAAAATTTATGTTCGTATCACCATAAAACTCGTTAATTTATTAGAAAAAAATTGAAATAAAGTTTAATTACTTGTGAATAAATATAGATAACAAATACACAAATAGTAATACCCGATTTTGCAATTGTATATTATGGGCGCATGAAGGACATGTTATGAAGCGAACTTCGCCGGCTTCTTCTTCATTGATAACACCATTTTGTTGTGGAGAAGGCGAGACTATTTGGATGGCTCTTTCGTCTTCAGAGTCGTTATGCCATGTCATCTCTCTTGTTTTGCTCTTACTCCCACCCCAAAGATGGTTTCTCTCTCCTATTTCCTCCACCTCTCCAAACTAGAAAAATAACATAAGATGTGTAAAAAAAAAAAAAAAAAAAAAAAAAAAAAAAAAGAAGAAGAAGAAGGAGAAGGAAATTAAAAGCACGTTTGTGGTTAAGCAATTCTTTTCTTCTTGTTCTTCTTCTTTGTTATCGATATTTGGGAAGGAATTGAATTCTTCACTTTTGTTTTCTCTTTCCTGTGATAGAGCTGTGCCTTGATAAGTTTTCCACAGAGAGAGAGAGAGAGAGAGAGAGAGAGAGGAGAGGACAAGAATTTTCTTGTATCTTTTGAAAATACGGGAAAAGAATTGCATTGTTCTTATAAAATGATAGGTAGCTTGGTCATCAAGTTTGGTTTTGTTCGTGTGTGTGCGCACACATGTATGAATATGCAGTTTCACGCTTGTTTTAGGGTTGGTTTGGAGTGTCCTAAAAAAGTGTACTTTTTATCTTTTTACGAAAGATGTGCAGAAAAGTAGAGAAGTGATGTAATAAAAAAAGATAAAAAGATTGATTATATAGGTTATGCCAAACCAACCCTTAATATTGGGCTCTTTTGGGAACATCAGTAAAAAAAACTAGCTTTTTGGCTTTTCAACTTTTTTAGTCAAAAAAGTCAATTTTTTTTTTACCCCAAATAACCCAACTTTTGGCTAAAAAGGCTACTAAAAAAGTCAAAAAATAAAAAAGTCACATTTTTACCAACTTTCCAATACACCACTATATATAAGGGGTGTTTGGGAACCACAAGTTGAGGCTAAAATAGTCTCCAACACAACCAAAAAAAAAAAAAAAAAAAAAGGCCTTTTAATCCCACTCTAACCCATTGATTTTAAAAAATATATATATACACTCAAGCTTTCAGCCTACACTGCCAACGTGACAGTGTAGGGACAAGAGTGACAGCCCAGCCATTTCAAAAGTAAATGACAATTTTGCCTCTTTAGACTTATTTTGGAAAAAATGAGATTAGAGATAAATTTGTCATTTTAACTTTAAATATCATTTAAAACACATTTTTTAATATACAACTTAAATAAAAATCCATTCTATCTTCTCAAAGTACAAAAACTAAAATAGTCTACTAAAATAGCCAAAAAGTCAAAAAACCTCTAAAATAGCCATTTCACAAACACCCACATAATGGGTAAATTAGAAATACACCTCTTAAGATTTGATTAAAATACAAATCATCCTTATAGTTTTGAAAATTACATTTCACCTTTGAAGTTTCTAATTTTATAACAAATCGCTCCTTTTATTAATCATCAAGTCAATTAACAGTTTTTAATAATGTTAAAAATATGTTTTAATTAATAATTTAGGTAATTTTATTATGGTATAAGAGAGCAATTATGAATTTTATTTTTTTTAATTCTGTTAAATAAAAAATTTTAATAAAGCGATATTTATAATTTTCAAATCACAAGGGGCCATTTGTATTTTAAGTAAACCTCAGAGAGTGTATTTGTAATTTACCAATATATAATTTTAAGCCTCGTATAGGAACAGACTATTTTAATAATTTTTTGACTTTTTACGAAAAGATGTATACAAAAAAATAAAAAGAAATAATGTGATAACTTATAATAATATTTTAATTTTTTGACTAAAGTATATAATTGTTGGTTTTATTTATTTATTATTCCGACACTTAAACACAAAGTAATAAGGTCTACGACGGTAATAAATGTCTATCGTACGCATGCACTTATGTGTGGATGAGAGGGTGTTTGGGATTGTGGAGCACACCTCGAGTTTAGTTTTGGTAATTTTATCCATTTATTTTTGTAAGATTATATTATTTCATATAAAAAATTAGATTGATTCAATAATTTTAGCCTATTCAATTTATCATGTTTCTTTCCAAAAAAATGAACAACAAATGGTTTATTTTAAAAAATATATTTATTGTTTTTTTTGAAAGAAAAATACAATAAATTACGATTATCAAATCGATCTAATTTTTTGTGTAAATAATATATACGAAAAATCTTACAAAATAAATGGTTTGGATTAAAATAGGACCTGAGGTGGACACATAGTGCCTAGACAATACCCTGTAGTCTAGATCTTGGACTAGAGAGAATCCAAACCCGTGAGGGGAAAAAAAAATGGAGCATTTTTAAATCTCATTCTTAAGACTTATGTTCTATCTAACTCGTATTCTTTTTTAGTATTCCATTAGGTCCTATTTGGTACAATACGACCAAATTACCCTTCTAATTTTTTTTAACACTTGTTTCCATTTTGAAATTAATACACAATAAAAAATAACAACAATTCCTTATTCTATGAAAAAAAATATCTTGTCATTTTAGGAAAAATCCTCTCATTCTAAGGGGAAAATCCCTCACTTATTCCATGGAGAAAAACTCTCCATTATTCTAGGGAAAAAGATCTCTCCCTTATTCTACATAAAAAATAATTCACATTTTCAAAATCCTAAATCATCTATCTTCTGAAAATCTCTCACTAAATGTTGATGTAAGTTTTCACATTGCAAATGTATGCTGATAAATAATATCTCCTCATGGAGCCATGCACGCACACACACACTTAATGCTACATCAATGTGTGAATATCAATATTTGGGTTCGACTACCAGTTTGTATTACATAATTAATGTGAACATTCACATCTCTATGCAGACAATATTTTTGTGCTAGTATGACTACTAACATACAACTAACTGTAGACACCTCAATTTTTAACCGACCTTAAGACTAAGATGTCATCGATTGAGCGCTCGGTGATTGCGCATGTTGTGCTTGTTCTGAGGTTTCGGAGTTTCGGCTGAGAGCCTTAGTCCCGGACCTCGAGACCCTTTGTGCTTTGCTTCGGTTTGCGAATCAGGTTCTGTTTTCTCTTCCCGAAGGGAGGGAGAGGTCTCGTAGACCATCTCTTAGTGGCTGTAGGCAACTTTTTGTGGTCGTAGACCACTGTTCCCATTTGGAGATCAGTTTTCGATTTTTCGGAGCCGTCGGCTGTGCGCCTCGTTTCGGGACAGCTTAACTTTCTTCGTTTGCTCCAGTTTTTGGCAGACATCTTGTTTCCTCTCTCTAGAGGGACACTGTGGCCTGGGAGACCACCTTTGTGGTCATACGCCACTCTCGGTGCTTAACAGCCTGTTTTCGAGGCGCCCGGCCGCGCGCCCTGCTATGCATTGTCGGTGCCCATCTTCCCGAGTCTATTTTAGCTCGAACCTTTTGATCCCTTTTTTTTATCTTTTCGAGGAAGCTTGACCTTTTGAACCATTTTTTAGCTTCTTGAGGAAGCTTGAACCTTTTTTTTAACTTTTTGAGGAAGCTTGAACCTTTTGACCCTTTTTAGCTTCTCCAAGAAGCTTGACCCCTTTTTTTTGGCTTCTTAAAGAAGTTTGACCCTTTGCTCCAAGCTTCTAAGAGAAGCTTGAACCTTTCTTAGCTTCTTGAAGAAGCTTGACCCCTTTGCTCTAGCTTCCTCAAGAAGCTTGACCCTTTTTGCTTTAGCTTCTAAGAGAAGCTTGGCCCTTTTGCTCAAGCTTCTAAGAGAAGCTTGGACCTTTGTTCTTCTATAAGAGAAACCCTCTCCCTCATTAGCAAAGGTTCAGATTTTTTGACCAAGGCATACATACACCTATCTCCATACATCTCTCTATTTTGGTCCTAAAAGTGCTAGGTTCTTGGCCCCTTTGCACTACACCTCTTAGCCTAACCTCTCCATCATCCATCTAAGCACCTTGGAGCTTATTTTCAGAGGTTGAGAAGCCACTTTCTTGGTCCAGAAACTGCTGTCTTTCTTGGCTACAAGGGTAACTCTCTTATCCCCCTTTTGGTCCTTGTTTTGCTTCATATCTTAGCTATATTTGCAAGCATATTTGGGCTTTGGAATAAACTGAAAAAAGTATTATTTTGAGCTTCTTAACAAGTTTGTTTAAGGTCATTTTCCGTTGGGGGTCATCTACCCCCTTGCATGCTTGTTTTCATCTTGTTTTGAGCCATGCACTAAGGCCTTTGTATTGTGCTTTGTTTGGCCTTTTAACCACTAAAATCCAATGGATTTTCAGTGGCTAGCATACTATTTTGAGCATCAAAATTAGAGAGGGGTGAGCCTCTCACCCATTGTCTTGTTTACTAGCCTTTATGGCCTCTCAAAGGAGCCTTTACTTGCATGCTTCCTAGCCTTATTTCAGGCCATTTTCAGTGAGTTTTAGGGCCTTCATAACCTCTATTCAGAGGTGGTTTTGTCATATTGAATGTCCATCTTGCATGTGTAGAGTAACCCCTTGCATAGCCTTTCAAAGGAGCACCTCATTCTAGCATGTGTTGATTGAGTTCCAGTGGGTTTTTGGTCATATTTTGGCATGCCATGTTTCTGTTTTGGGCTGGTTTGGTAGTCCTTCACATGCTTCATATAGTTGTAGTGTAAGTCATGGTTCACTAGCTTGTTTTGCATGATGTTTTGGCCGCCTTTCCTAGCATATTTTGGCCTTGCCTTAAACTAATTTTGTGCATGTTTTGGACTGCCTTAGCTCTATTTTTGGGTCTCATGGTCGAATGATGCTTGTTTTGCATGCTTGTAGTACAGTATCCATGCTTAGCTTTGAGTTTTGGGGCCTATTGCATGTTTGTGTTGAGGTGTTTCCATATTTTGGGGCCATTGTATATCATATTTCGGAGCTTATATGCATGCCATATATCCATGTTTTCCACTCTTTAAACGCGTTTGAGAGTTGTGCATAAATGCCTCGTTTTCGGACCATTGTGTGAGCTTCATTTCTATGCATGTTGAGCCATCATTTTAGGCCATTTTCCCATTGTCTTAGACCTACCCAGGGTCTGTTTGGGGTCGGTTTTGCCATTTGTGCATTGCTTTATGTACCTCTAGTGTAATCCGCTTCACTAGTTTCGGTATTCGGGCCATCTAGCATGCATTGGGTGACATATTTGCATGATTCAGGACCATGGTGCATCATGTTTCAGAGCTGGAAAATGTGTGTTTATATGCCATATTTCATCCTTTGCCATGCTTTGATAATTTTTGCATTTGGTGCTTTAGGATCGGTCCCTTGCATTGGGCATATTTGCATGAGTGTTCTTGCCTTTAATTTCACCATGAATGGCCACTGATTTGAGTGTGGCTGAGGTCCACTCACATTGGTTTAAGTCCATCTTGCATTGTGTATGCCATTTAGTTCATGTTGTTGCATGTTTGGCCATTGCATTCCGTATGCCCTGATCATCTCATTGATAGTCTTCATCTGTGCATGATAGTCTTCGTATGTACATTGTG